GGGGCGGGCCTGTGGGTCGCCTCTGCAGGGACGGGCCTCGCGCGCCCCTGTCCGTCCGGTGTAGACGTTGCGCGGACCCCCCCGGCCTCCTCCCCTCCCCCCCGCTATGTCGCCTTCCCTGGGGACCCTCGGAAACGCCTCCCCCACCCCCAGCAGCCTGCGACCCCTCCTCTTGCTGGGGGCGCCCCTTCCAATCCCTTGTGATCGGAAAAAGGGAGGTCGAGGGAGCCCCGGAGTCCCTTAGCCCAGCCTCAGCGTAGCCGGCGGAGACTCGGTTCCTCTGTCCCGGGGAGGGGACCCCCTGGGGCGAACGGGGATGGACGGCGCAGTTGGTCCCTCGGACCGGGCCGACTCCCGTCCGCACCCCCGCACCCCCAGACGCGGTGGCTGGGGAGGCGACCGTCCCCGCGCCTGCCCCTGAGCCGTGGGCTCAGCCAAGCTCGTCCCTGCAGCAGCCGGTGTCGCCCCTGGTAAGCGCTTCCTTCCACTGACGGCGGGCGGTGGGGCCCCGACCCAGGGGGAAGAGGGTCGGGCCGGCGGGGGAGGTGGGCGCTGATCCCCGGACCTCACACTGTCCGCGCTGCAGCCAAAGCCCCCGGCCTGGGCGCCGCCATCAAGGCTGCCTGCTCCCGAGGAGGAAAGGGACAGGCCCGAGGTCCCCGGGAGCCCAGAGGCTGCAGAGAAGGACCAGGGGGAGCCCGGGGAGGCCACCGGGGAGTACCACGAGCCCCTCGCCGACCGAGGGCCCAAGGAGAGGCCACGGAAGGAGAGGCCACGGGAGGAGAGGCCACGGGAGAAGCCACAGGAGAAGCCACGGAAGGAGAGGCCGCGGAAGGAGAGGCCACGGCAGAGGCCGCGGGCTGCCGGGGAGGCACGCGAAGGCGGCCGTCGGCCCAAAGACCCCGCGCACGGGAAGGAGCAGGCCTGGGTCTCCCCGCGGCGCCCCGATCAGCAGGACCGGCCTCTGGGCCGCCAGAAGCACCGCACAGGCAAGGGGCGGGACTGAGGCGGGCCTGGGTTCGGCGCACGGATGCGGGGACCCCTTCCCCACTCTCCACAGTGGCCCCGCGGCTCCAGGAGAATAAAGCGAGTGCTGCGGCTGTCGTGTCGCCTGCTTTGCGCTTGGACCCCGGCACGGAACGCGGGGCCTGGAAGATGGAGGTGGGGAGCCCCGCACGGGAGAAAGGAGACGGCAGAAGGCTCCCGCGGACACTCACGGACACCCCACCGGGAGCTTGCTGGTCTTTATTGGGACGATGCTTGGGGTCCGAATAAATACGGGAAGGCGACAGCCGGGGCGCGCAGGCCCCGCGGTCAGCGGCAGCCGCACTC